GTAGTAGTAGTAGTAGTAGTAGTAGTAGTAGTAGTACTAGTAGTAGTGGTAGTAGTAGTAGTAGTAGTATCACTTACAACAATCATCCTTCCTACTAGTTGTAGTAGTAATATCATTAGTACCATAAACTAACATAATAATAAAAACAGTAGTACAATTCTCAGAATGTTTCAGACATCTTTCAGAATCTTGCAGGATCTCTCAGAATCTCTCAGAATCTTTCAAAATCTGTCAGAATCTTTCAGAATCTCTCAGCATCTCTCCGAATCTCTCAAAATTTAAAAAAGAATTGTCTGACCGGCGAAGGACCCAGTTTACCGGGAAATACCCCAGTTTACCGGGACAAAGAATTGTTTCCCATCCAAGGTGGGGGAGGAGGGGGAGTCGTTGCGGCGAGTGGGGCGGGCGGGGGGTCGACCCGGTAGTGACCCCCCTCGGTTTTCCAGGGGGGGGGGGGGGGCGATCCAGTAGAGACACCCCCCCTGTCATGAGGGACCAGGCGGGGGGGGGTCTTGGAACCTCCAGTGACAAACCCCGGCTTTCGAGGGGGGGGACGTGTTGGAAGGCCCCATGGCAGTGACCCTCCCACGGGTGTCTGCCAGCAGCGGCAGAGCACGCTGTGTCATATACATATATATGTATATATATATATGGATGAGTGGGTGTATGTATGTATGTATGTATGTATGTATGTATGCATGTATACATGTATGTATACATGTATGTATGCATGCATGCATGCATACATGCATGTGCCTGTAGGGAAATAACTAGAAGGTATGGATGTGCATATGTATGTGTATGGTTATGTATGTGTACATGCGTATGCATACGCGTACATAGCTAATTGCATGTATAGACGTATGTGTATATGTCTCTACATATGCGGCGATGTATATGTGTATATGAGCGCGCGCATGCCGGCGCCCCTGCTTGCTTGTCTTGCAAATACCATCACCTGGTATCACCGCATAATGCGTTCCTTTTCCTCACCTCCAGGCTCTGTATATACAAATGTATGTCTATACGCACTAGAACCACGCAAGCGTTTCGCGCGCGCTTAGATTCGAGCGCAGCCAACCACCTTCATATGATCGGATGACGCTGGACATCCTCCCGCAAGGATCACACTCTATGGGAGCGTACTTCCTGATGGACGCTTCAGGAATCTCTGAATAAGCAGACCCCAGGAGATCATGCTGCTCTGGGCAGATGCACCGAAAGCTGCCCGAAGGTAACTTTTTAAAGGCTGCAGGAGGTGGTATGTGGAACGTCTTGAGCGGTCTTGAAGATCCCATGGCCATCTCGAGAGCCCCTTCTAACTATCTCGGAGGTGCCTTCGGAGGTCCCTTGGCAACCCTGGGGGTCAACGACATGGGGCAATTCAAACCATTTAAGGGCTGACAGGGTCAATCGAAGCCGTCTTGGGCGCGACCTTGAGGATCCCTGAGCCCGTATTGCGCCTAGCTGGGAAGCGTGAAGATGTTGTACGACACGCGATACAAGACAGATGACCCGGCTGACTCTTCTCATGGAGGCGACGTCCAGCACGACTTCGCGCTACAGATGTGCGTGCAGGGCGAATCCCTCAGCTGTTTTTTGGCAAGCGCCCAGGAAGGCTCCAGGAAGGCGCGCAAGGGAGCCACGAGGAGGACCCAGGGCGGCCTAAAGGGGGAGGGCTGCCCGAGAGCCCCTAAGAGCGTGGCAAAACCATGCTGGGAGTCGCGTGGGATGCCGTTGGGGGACGCTCTTGGAGGGCGCTGCTTGGGGGCTTGTGTGGAGGGGGGGCTCATGGGGATTCTTGGGGGTCTCCTGGTGGTCTCTTGGGACTTCTTGAAGCACCTCGGGGGCCTCCCCAAAGCTCTTGGCGTCTAGGCTCGAAATGTCCGCTTGGATCCCAACTCTTGCTCAAGTCGTAGGGCCGTATTGAATGCCTCTTGGGCCAGCTTGGCGGCATCTTCGACCGTGTTGGCGCTCTCTCGGATCGCATTCGGGCCGTGACGGGTGTCCCTTGGGCTGTCTAGGTGCTTTCTTAGGGTCCTCTTGGGCCGTCTTCAGACACTAGAAGGCAGAACAAACGATAACGCTAAAACTTCCAAACAACACCAGAAAATATAGTAGTTGGGCATCCTGGGGCCCTTGGGGGGGTCCCCTTGGTGCCCTTTTGAAAAGTCTGGGGGCACTCTTGGGCCCACTTGAAGCTATCAAGGGCTTCGTCGAGCGTTCTTATACTGTCCCGGTCCCTCCTGACCCGTTTTGGGGGCCTCTTTGGCCTCTCGTGCCAGTCTGGAGACCCTCTCTGGGCACCCCAAGAGGCGCCCAATGCGGGGAACCTTGAGACGTACAACGGGGCCAGCTCGATGGAGCCCTGCCCCCGGGATCCCCCCTTTTTGTATATTCAGATGAGTAAGAGCCTACCAACTGGGATCTGATCAGGAAGCCTCACAGCCGGAATCTGTTGGAGAACGCTACTGCTGAAGGTTCCTACTGGAAGGCATTCAACCAATAATCCACTAGAAAGCACCACGAAGGGATTATGTTGAAAACCCTCACAATCGAAATCCGTTGGGAAATGCAACTGGAGTGTTCTCGCCTTCTCAGCTTCCCAACGCTCCAAAACGGCCTGAGAGGCTCCAACGATCGCCCCAAGAGGCCTCCAACAGGGTCCCGAAACAGGCCAAAGAGGGCCCGAAGACGGCCAAACACGCCCGCAAGATCCCCCAAGAGGCCCCCAAGAGGGCTCCAAAAGGGTGCCCAGACACGGGACCCAAATGGACATTGAGAGCCCTCGACCCGAGAGGCTCCCAGGAAGCCCCCAAGAAACCGGCCCCAGGAGGCTCCAAGAGGCCCCCAACAGGCTCCCAGGAAGCACCAGGAGGCTCCCAAGAGGCTCCCAAGAGGCCTCCAAGATGCTCACAAGGAGCCCCCCCAGAGACCCCCGAGAGCATTCCGAAGACACGCCAAACATAATCCCTGAGGACTCTGACCCTCGTCAGCGTCGTCATCGTCGTCGTCGTCGCCGTCCCCCTTCAGGGTCGGCGGCACCGGCCGCAAGGCCTTCGCAATACTACTAGGGTTTCCGATTGGAAACCGTCACAACGAAAGGACTTGATTGGAAAACCCACCAAAACGGATTCGCTCGAAAGAACTACTGAGGTTTCCAGCTGGAAAGCGTTACAACGGGAATCCGTTAGAAATCGTCACAAAGAGATCACGTTGGGAAGCCTCACGCGGAAAGCACTCCAAAGGTGTCCTACTGAAAAACCTCACAACCGAAACCCTTTGGAAAGTGCCACACCAGCGATTATATTGGAAAGCGTCACAGGGCTCCTCTTAAAAAGCATCACAATTTGAATCCGATTGGACGGCGCAACAAAAGGACTCGATTGGAAAGCGTCATGGCAGGAAACCTCTGGAAAACGTTCCTGCAGGCTCCTCTGCGAAAGCATCACAACAGGAATCCGCTAGCAAGCATCACAGAGGGATTCGATAGACAAATGGAAGAGCAAGAACCTGTTCTACAGCTCGACTGAAGGTTCTTCTTGGAATGATGTCATAAAAAAAGGAATCCTTCGGAAAGCACCACAAAGGGATTCGATGGGAAAGCCTCACTATCAGAATCCAATGGAAAGCGCTACTGAGGGTTCCTGTGGGGACGCATCACCGCAGGAATCTACTGGAAAGCACCACAGAGAGTTTCTGGTGGAAATCCTTACAGTTTGAATCGTGTGATACATGCTGCAGGGTATTCCTATGGGAAAACGTCACAAAAGGGGATCCGTTGGGAAACGCTGCAAAGGGAATTCGATCGAGTCGAGAAGCCTCACAACAGGAATCCACTGGAAAGCACTACTGCAGACTCCCATTGGAAACTGCCACAGCAGAACTCCGTTGGAAACACCACAGAAGAATTCGATGCGAAAACCTCTCAATCGGAATCTTTTGGAACGCACTACTGAGGATGCCTATGGGAAAGCAACACACCAGTCATCCACTGGGAAGCACCACAAGAAAATGCTGTTGGAAACCCTCACTATCGGAATCGTTTGGGCAAAATTTTCCTGGGGGTTCCGACTGGAACGCGCCACTGAGAGGAATCCGGTGGACGACTCGGCGAAGGGTTTCGATTGGAGAGCGCCACGAAAGGAATCCGTTACACATAAAACATTACCGTTGGGCTCCGATGGGAAAGCGTTACAATCAGAATCCGCTGGAACGCGCCACAAAGGAATCCGATCGGAATCCTGTGGAATTTGACTGGGAAGCGTCAAGAGAGGATTCCGCTGGAAACTACTAAACACGGCTTCGATGGGAAAACCTCACATGAAATGCACTCGGAAGGGCTCTAATTCGAAAGAGCCACACTATGAATCCTTTGGAATGCACAACATGAAAAGGGATGCTACTGGAACGCGTGACAGAAAGAATCCTTGGAAAACGCTGCGAAGGAATTCGATGGGAAAACCTCACAACAGGAATCCTCTGGAAAGCGCCACCGAGGTGTCCTATTTGGATGCGTTCTACAGAAACATTAATGTGACGTTTGTGTGTGTGTGTGTGTTTAAGTTGGTTGTCCTGCGGCTCCTCTTCGAGGGCTGCTTGAGTAGCAGCGTCCAAAGGCGACGAGGATAAAGGAAGGTAAGAAAAAGGATGAGGAAAGAACATGGTGGAGAAAAGGGCGAGACCGGAGAAGGGAAACGGAGTGGGACAGACAAGCAGAGGCACCGATATGCGCGCGCACCCGTATATATATAGAGAGAGAGAGAGAGAGAGAAAGGCAGATATGCACACAAACGCTTGCAGCCAAGCTGTTTAGGGACAAAGTCCGCCGTGATGTGCTTGCCTTGCGAGAGTGTCTGGGCGGGGGCGAGGGTGCGTCGAGGGCGAGCCTCTCTCCGAAACGCGCCAACATGGCGTGACCGCGAAGGCAGGCGCCACACCGCATAACCTCAAAAGGCCCCCCCCTCCGCGGCCAGGCCAGACCCCCGCCAAGGCCGCGCCTGCGTCTTCCAGTTCACAGCCATCACCTTGAAGTAGTAGCCTGCTGGCGACCCAGGGCTCTCTCGCACTCCCCCGCCGTCCCGAGGTGGTGGGTGAGGAGGGCGGGAACGGGGGGAGACGATGAGAGCGAGAGGCACTAGATGGGTATAAGTATATATATATATATATATACATGTATATCTATGTATACATACAGAGAGAGCGAAAGCGTGCGAGCAACAAAAGAGGAAGGAGAGGAAGAGAGAGAGAGAGAGAGAGAGAGAAAAGTAGAGGTAGAGGTAAGGGGGACCAGACACGCAGGGAGAGAGAGAGAGAGAGAAAGCTATCTATATGTGTGTAGATGTATAAATTATCCCGGCAAAGCAACCTAACAGCGATGTGTAGGAGCATATATGGAAGCATTCCCCTTAGGATTCTGATGAGAATCCAGTTGTAGAATTGTGCTGTTCTCGCAGTCGTAGTCGCATTCGCGATGACAGTCGCAGTGGCAACGGCAGTCACAGACACAGCCTCGGCCTCAGCCTGCCTCAGCCTCAGCCTCAGCCTCAGCCTGCCTCAGCCTCAGCCTGCCTCAGCCTCAGCCTCAGCCTGCTTCAGCCTCAGCCTCAGTCTGCCTTCAGCCTCGGCCTCAGCCTCAGCCTGCCTCAGCCTCAGCCTGCATCAGCCTCAGCCTCAGCCTCAGCCTGCCTCAGCATCAGCCTGCCTCAGCCTCAGCCTCAGCCTGCCTCAGCATTCAAAATGTGGCCCGGGAATGTAGTTCTGGGAACTCGAAGAACACGAAGTGGCCTACAGTTGGCTCCGGGCATTCAAATTCATGCCCAGGAATGGAGTTCTGGGAACTCGAAGACCACGAAGTGGCCTACAGTTGGCTCCGGGCATTCCATGCCCAGGAATGGAGTTCTGGGAACTCGAAGACCACGAAGTGGCCTACAGTTGGCTCCGGGCATCAAAATCTGGCCCGGGAATGGAGTTCTGGGAACTCGAAGACCACGAAGTGGCCTACAGTTGGCTCCGGGCATCCAAAATCTGGCCCGGGAATGGAGTTCTGGGAACTCGAAGACCACGAAGTGGCCTACAGTTGGCTCCGGGCATTCAAAATGTGGCCCGGGAATGGAGTTCTGGGAACTCGAAGAGCACGAAGTGGCCTACAGTTGGCTCCGGGCATTCAAAATGTGGCCCGGGAATGGAGTTCTGGGGACTCGAAGAGCACGAAGTGGCCTACAGTTGGCTCCGGGCATTCAAAATGTGGCCCGGGAATGGAGTTCTGGGAAGTCGAAGAGCACGAAGTGGCCTACAGTTGGCTCCGGGCATTCAGAATGTGGCCCGGGAATGGAGTTCTGGGAGGTCGAAGAGCACGAAGTGTGTGACTGTATGCGAAAAACGATCCCGGCCGGCAAACCCCAACACCTCCCCAACGGCTGCCCAGACCCCCCTGTGGAGTAATGTGCTGCTCTCTTTTGACACCACTAGAAACCTATCAGTCTTCGCTGTTAGGTAAATTATCCCGGCAAAGCAACCTAACAGCGATGTGTAGAAGCATATCTGAAAGCATTCCCCTTAAGATTCAGATGAAAATCCAGTTGTCGAATTCTGCTGTTCTCGCAGTCGTAGTCGCATTCGCGATGACAGTCGCAGCGGCAACGGCAGTCGCAGTCACAGCCTCAGCCTCAGCCTGCCTCCTCCTCCTCCTCCTCTTTCTCCTGCTCCTCCTCCTCCTCCTCCTCCTCCTCCTCCTCCTCCTCCTCCTGCTCGTCCTCGTTCTCGTCCTCCTCGTCTTGCTCGTCCTCCTCCTCCTGGTGCTCTCTCCTCCTCCTCCTCCTCCTCCTCCTCCTCCTCCTCCTCCTGGTGGTCCTCGTTCTCCTCCTCCTGGTGCTCTCCCCCCCCCTCCTCCTCCTCGTCCTCCTCCTCCTCCTCCTCGTCCTCCTCCTCCTCTTCCTCCTCCTCCTCCTCCTCCTCCTGGTAGTCCTCCCCCTCCCCTCCTCCTCCTCCTCCTCCTCTTCCTGGTCGTCCTCGTTCTCGTCCTCCTCGTCTTGCTCGTCCTCCTCCTCCTGGTGTTCTCTCCTCCTCCTCCTCCTCCTCCTCCTCCTCCTCCTCCTCCTGGTGGTCCTCGTTCTCCTCCTCCTGGTACTCTCCCCCCCCCTCCTCCTCCTCCTCCTCGTCCTCGTCCTCCTCCTCCTCCTCCTCCTCTTCCTCCTCCTCCTCCTCCTCCTCCTCCTCCTCCTCCTCCTCCTCCTGGTACTCCTCCCCCTCCCCTCCTCCTCCTCCTCCTCCTCCTGGTCGTCCTCCTCCTCCTGGTCGTCCTCCTCCTCCTGCTCGTCCTCCTCCTCCTCCTGCTCGTCCTTCTTCTCCTGCTCCTCCTGCTCCTCGTCCTGCTCCTGCTCGTCCTCGTCCTCCTGGTCTTGCTCGTCCTCCTCCTCGTCGTGCTCTTGCCCCTGCTGAAAATGTGGCCCAGGAATGGGAGTTCTGGGAAGTCGAAGAGCACGAAGTTGCCTACAGTTGGCTACGGGCATTCAAAATGTGGCCCGGGAATGGAGTTCTGGGAACTCGAAGAGCACGAAGTGGCCTACAGTTGGCTCCGGGCATTCAAAATGTGGCCCGGGAATGGAGTTCTGGGAACTCGAAGAGCACGAAGTGGCCTACAGTTGGCTCCGGGCATCCAAAATGTGGCCCGGGAATGGAGTTCTGGGAACTCGAAGAGCACGAAGTGGCCTACAGTTGGCTCCGGGCATCCAAAATGTGGCCCGGGAATGGAATTCTGGGAACTCGAAGAGCACGAAGTGTGTGACTGTTGCATCCGGCCCTCCAGAATGTGGCCCGGGAATGGAGTTCTGGGAACTCGAAGAGCACGAAGTGTGTGACTGTTGCATCCGGCCCTCCAGAATGTGGCCCGGGAATGGCGTTCTGGGATCTCGAAGAGCACGAAGTGTGTGACTGTTGCATCCGGTTATTCAGAATGAGCCTGGGAATGGAGTTCTGGGAAGTCGAAGAGCACGAAGTGTGTGACTGTTGGTGAAAAACGAGTTCGGCACAGGCCCGCCCGGCAACTCCCAACACCTGCCCGGACCCCCCTGTGGAGTGATCTGTGACCTCTTTTGACACTACTAGAAACCTATCAGTCTTCGCTGTTAGGTAAAAAGAGGGAGGCGAGAGGCGAGATGGAGAGAGTGAGAGACAGAAACGACAATCATGTGTACACATGGAATCATGTATACGTGTGCTGTCAACATAGATGACAAGACATCGAAGCACCGACGTACGAGGGAAAGAGGCAGAGCCTACGGAACGTATATCCTTATCCTTCTCCCCTCCTCCGCCTCATCATTACCACCACCCGCATCAGCAGCATCTTCACCCTCTTCTCCCTCCACACGATCATCAGCATCACCATCAACATCCTCGTTATCATATTGATCATCCTCAACATCCTCATCTATTCCTCCTGCTCCTCATCATCATGCTCATCCTCCCATTTCTAATCCTACGCTTCCTCCTCCTCTTCTTCCTCGTCGCCAGCATCATCATCGCACTCAGCATCATACTCATCATCACCATCAACATCATCATCATCAGCAGCATCATATGCATCAGCATCAGCATCAGCATCAACATCATCATCACCATCATCATCAGCATCATCATCATCATCATCATCATCATCATCATCATCATCATCATCACCATCACCATCACCATCATCAATATCATCATCATCATCATCATCATCATCATCATCATCATCATCATCATCATCATCATCGTCGTCGTCGTCGTCGTCGTCGTCGTCGTCGTCGTCGTCGTCGTCGTCGTCGTCGTCGTCGTCGTCGTCGTCGTCGTCGTCGTCGTCGTCACCGCCGTGGTCGTCGTCGTCGTCCGCCTCCTCCCGCGCTCTCCTCCTCCTCCTCCTCCTCCTCCTCCTCAGGCTCCCCCTCTCCCTCCTCAAGGTCAACCCCTGGACCTACCCTGGACCGCGCTTCGCCCAAGGATCTCGGGCTGGATCCGGCCGCGGCGACGAGGGCCCCTCCTGGAGACCCAAGGAGCAGAAAAACATGACACCCTTCCGCCCTGCTCCCTGCCTCCTCCCAAGCTGCTCCTGCAAGTCAGAGTTCTAAAACGCCGGCGGGGGCTCAGAATTCGAAGGATATCAGCAACCAGATGAACCCCGGCGGGGGTGTCCGATACCCCAGCGCCGAGTGGACCCGCAGCGATATGGTTCGCAAATGGTCGCAGAATAACCTTTCGCTACTCGGGCCCTGAAGGGTCTCGATCCCTTTCTTCTACGGGTTCGGCTTTTCCTCGGCGGCGAGCCCACGGGAAGCTAGAGGGGGCAGGCCTTCTCAGAAGGCGCGGGGACTTCTGACGAGCCCCGCCGCCTTCTGAGAAGTCCTGCCGCTTCTCGCTTCCAGCCTGAGCTCGCCGCTGATTTTCTTCCACGATCGCTTCGCAAGCCTCCCAACGTCGCAAAACGTTGCTGGTCTGCGGTGAATTGGGTCCACCAGGCTGACAAGCAACCAGAGGGACGCATCCGCGAACGTCACGCAGCACATCACGTCGGAGGCTCGTTCCGTGATCATCGGCCCCTCGAGGCCGTAGCGGGCCTCCAGGCCATGAAACAGCGAGCCTCGACGAACAGAAATGCCACGGGGACAAGTTAAGACGACCGAGTTGTCAAAGTTGCCAAGGGGACAACGTGCCACAGTTGCCTCGAAGAAAAGCTTTGCTAAGGTCGGCAGTTCGGGGGGTACGATGTAAACAATCCACGTTGCCGAAGTCTGGGAAGTAGGAGGCGGGAGGACGGACGCTCATGTGTTCTGCCCCTGTTTGGCGGCGCGAGGGAACATGGAGGGAGTGGGGGCCTCCGGAGACGGCTGGGGTGCTTCTTAGCAGGACCCCGAGCCGTCTCAGAAGGCGGGAGGACTCTCAGGAAGCCCCCCCCTGCCTGAAGGGGAACGCAAGGTGGGGACCAGCTCCGGGGGAAAAATATCGAGCTGGAATCGGCGGTACATCGCCGATAGATCGGCGGTAGGCCCACGAACACGAAAA